TCTCGCGCCCGCAGGGACTTTTGAGTACGTTGCGGGCGACGCCGCCGCGCGTGGGCTTCGCGAGCGCGGCGTCGCCGGCGCCGGTGCCACAGGCGCCACGGCCAGCGGCGGCGGCGCCGCCGTTGGTGGCGCGAGCGAAGATGTCTGCGGACAGGCGCTGCAGCACGGCGGCGGCGCCCTCGCTGGCGGTCGCGCCGGCGACGCTGTTGCCCTTGATGCTGCTGCTTCCAGCAGAGATCGCGCCGCCTGTCAGGGGGCATAGTTTGAAAACCGTAAGGGGTGGTGGGCATCAGCCTGCAAACCTGCAACTGGAAAATGCTGACGTTGCGCCAAGGGCGCAGGGCAATTGCATTCACATTAATCCGCATCCCGCAGCTGCGCCATCAGCCCAACTTGCTGTCCCGCCTCAGCCGCCCTGCTCCCACAGTCCCCGGCCCCCCGCCCGCTCACCCCCGCTGCCGCCTGACGCCGCCGGCGACCCGCCCGCCCCTGCGCCCACGCCCCCGCCGCCCCTCTCGGGCGCGGCGGCCCCTGGCGCCACCGCCGCGCCGGGCGCGGGCTCCGCTGCGTCTGGCTCTGACGACTCCACAAAACGCCCCTCCTCCGTCCGCCGCCGCTTGCGGCGCCGCTGCTGCTGCTGCTGCTGCTGGATGACTAACAGCTCTTCCTCCCAGTCCGCATCGCCATCGTCGTCCGCACCCCCCTCGCGCCGTTGCTGCTGCTGCTGCTGCTGCTGCTGCTGCTGCTGCTGCTGCTGCTGCTGCTGCTGGCGCGCCGCGCGCTGCGCCGGCCGCGCACGTGGCCGCAGGGGCTGCTGCTGCGGGTGCTGCTGCGCAGGCACCACCCCCTGCAGGCCCACCAAAGTGCCGCACCCCAGGATCGCCGCCGCCTCCATCGCCGCCGCCTCATCGGCCTCCTCCAGCCCCCCGCCCTCGCCCGCGCCGGCCCCGTCCTCCGCCCCCTCCTCCGCCGCCTCCACACCCTGGCCCTCGTCCTCACTCTCTGCCGCCAAATGCTCTCCGCCGCCGCCGCCGCCGCTGCGCTGGCGCTCCTTCTGTGGGAGGTTTTTAAACTTCCGCCAGAAGAGGCCGCACGCGTTGCACAGCACCGACGCCTCGGGCGGCCCGCCGCGCCACTGGGGCGAGAAGCGCGTGCCGCAGTGGTGGCAGCCCTGGAAGGCCACTGTAAGGGAGCGGCGCTTGCGCTTGGGCAGCGTCTTGGTCTTGCGGTAGTGGAGGCCGCAGGGGTCGCACAGCGCGACGCCCTCGGGGCCGGCACGCCACTGGTTGGAGCTTTCCGCGCCGCAGTGGGTGCAGGGGCCCTGGGGCAGGGAGCAGGGGGTTGGGAGGCGGCCGCTTTGAGCCAGGGTATTGGGCCGGGCGAGGCGCCGCACAAGAAACGAGCTCCGCGTCCACCGCGGCCGCCGCTGCGGTGGCCGCAGCTTGTGCCGCTTGCGCCAGTGCCACTGCCCCTGCAGCCACTTCTTGCGAGCGCGCGCACATCGCTGGCACCATCTTTGCACAAGCTCTATCAGAAGGCGCCTCCCGAGCCCGCACCACAGCCAAATCCGCCCCAGCGGCGCGCCCCGGCCACCGCCCTCGCTCGCTGAGAAGTTCTCAGCAACCGCACAGCCGCCCGTCCGCCTCATCCGGCCGCGGCTAGCCACCCTCCAAACCAAACCCAACCGCCTCCAGCAGCAGCCAGCCACCCGTCAGCCCCCCGCCCCACCTTGAGCTCGTCCGCCACCTTGCACGTCTCCTCGGGCAGGGACCGCCGCTTGCTCCAGAACAGGCCGCACGCGTTGCACAGGCAAGGCTTCTCCGGAGGCCCGCTGCGCCACTGGCTGCTGCTCTGCGTGCCGCAGTGGCTGCACGGGCCTCGCAGGGAGCTGCCGGCGCGGCGCACGGGGGCCGGCTGCTGCTGCTGCTGCTGCTGCTGCTGCTGCTGCTGCTGCTGAGCTACGGGATCCGCAGCTGTGGAAGCAACCGTGGCCCCAAGCGCTGCAGGAGCAAGGCCTGCCGCCGTCCCGGAAGCCTGCGGCAGGATGGGCCGCGGTTGCCCCCCAGCCCGCTGCTGCTTTGCCATCGAGGCCAGCAGCTGCTGCGTGAACGCCGCCGTGCCGGCGCCGCCGCTGGCGATGCCTGCAGGCTTCAGCATCAGCAGCTGCGGCACGCCGCCGAGGGCGCCGCCGCGCGGCATTGCCAGAGGCAGCTGCAGCAGCGGTAGCGGCAGAGCCAGGGGCTGGGATGCGACCCCGGCAGGTGCTGCGGCGCCTGAGCTGATCCTCCGCTCCTGATGGCCACCTTGAGCTGCCGGTGTGTCCCCATTCCCCTTTTTCTGCTGCTTGTGCTGCTGCTGCTGCGACTGCTGTGCTGCTGATGGCTGCTGCCCGCCTGCTGATGGCGCGCCCTGCGGCGCTGCGCCGCCCGGGCGCGCCGCCACCGCTGCGGCAATTGCAGCCATGGCCGCTGCGTTGGTTTTAAGGACTGCGGCCAGCTGCTGCTGCAGCGGCCCATTCGAGTGACCGGGCGCCGTGCGCTGCTGCTGCAGCAGCAACTGCTGCTGCTGCTGCAAGATCTGCTGCTGCAGCTGCTGCAGAGGCGGCGCCGCACTCCCACCCTGTCCCCCCACAGGTCGCGTGGCCGGGGCTGCAGTAACAGGTGGCGGCGCCGCCGCAGGGGCACTGAGCGGCGCCGCCGCCGCGGCAGCCGCGCCGAGCAGCACGGGCGCGGCGCCGGTGCTGCTCGGCGTCCCCGAGCGGTGCATGGCCGTGGCATCAGACCCCGCCGAGGTGCCGATCACCGCCGCTGCGTCTGGGCGGGGCGCATCTGGCTGCGGCGGGTCGGGCGCAGCGGGCGCGCGGTCTGGCTGTGGATCTGGGTGGGGCCCGCGTGAGAGATCCGACGCAGGCTCGACGCCACCGGGCGCTGGCCGGTCCTGCTGCTGCGCGTGTTGGTTCTCGTGCTGCTGTAGCTGCTGCCGCTGCTGTTGCTGCCGCTCCAGCTGCTGTGGTGGGGCGCGGCGCGCGCGTGATGGCACAGGCCCAGGGGTCAAGCAAACACAGGCAGGCCGCGACGCCAACGTCACCCCCGTTGCAGGCAGCAGGCAGCAGCGCTCGAAGGTGATCCCACCTGCATGGTCTACAGAAACTGCTGCCTCCTCGACCACGCGGACCCAAGGCACATTCACCATCTGAGCGCGCGCAGGGGCATCACTGCCGCGCGTATGAACCCTGCCGCGGCGCGTCTACAGGCGTCATTGCTTCGAATCACATCTCCTTCCTCTGTCTCTCAGGCTCAGGACCGGAGCGCCCCGGGACAGGATCTGACATCGTGCCGTTTGAGATCCGCTTCGATCCCTGGACACAGTTTTCGTGAGCAGCGCACCAAAGCGCTAAGCTGCACAGCACGCCACATGCTGCCGTGTGCATGCCTGTGCGGGTGCAACTCGAGCCCGCAGTACCCTGGCGCGGTGCTCTCCTGGCCCGTGTCTTGAGCGTGTAGGTGAGGTGTGGCCGTGGCCGCAACCGCCGACCCATGGGCAGCACCGCATGCCTGCTGCTAGATGCTGTATACAAGAAACAAAAGAGTCTTCTGACCAGCAACAGCAGTGTACACCACCTGCACCCTGTCAGAGCATCATCGTCAGACATGCTCATAGCAGAAGGGGCAGTGGCTGGAGGTTGTTGCCAAGGGGCATCTGACGTATGTTGCGGTGCAGGCGAAGGAGCTTCAAACACAAGCGCAATCAGTGTCATTTGGACCGTGACCGCTGCGAGCAGAGCTCAAGCAGTGAGGCCTCTGAGGGCAGCCCAGGATCGGCCTCAAATGCAAGGTCAAAAGCTGGTTGCACATTGGTTGGTTAATCCCTGGGTTTTCGCGTCTGAATGACCTTTTCGGGGTCCTGCGAACACCAGAGGTGCTCACTCTTTTTCCTTTTACTTGCCTAACAAAGGCTTTGCGTGACGCATCAGGCTACACTCGCTCCTTGATCCATCCACAGCTTTGTCGTGAGCAGCGCTGAGCTGCAACCTGTGAGCAATGCACGGCCATAATCTGTCCTGATAGCTGTCGCAGCCCCACGATCAACCACGCCTGAAAGCTGAGTTGCTGCCCCTGGCCCTGCTGTTGACTTGAGCCCTGCCCTTGCCCCTGCCGCGGCCACCTGCCGCTGCGGCCTGGTGGCAAACGCCTGGGCGCACAATACGCTGCTGCTAACTACACGGTTTGCCAGGCTAGCTGGTGGCCACAGACGAGTGTCCTAGGCAAAGGCGCATGTCCAGCGCTGATGCACATGGTGCAGGTGTTGGGTGTGGCCTGAAGTGCTGGTGCCCCGTACACGTCATTGCTACACACATCATGAGCCGGCTGACCATAGCCCGGAGCCTGCGGCCAAGGTTGACCGTGTTGCATTGACTCCAGGTGCATGCAGTTCAGGAGAGAGAAGTTGGATCAGCTTTTGTCATCCCATGTTGGTGCCTACATTTCCATCATTCTCGATTTGAGCAGTGCTCAGATCGTCGTCTGCACGGTGCCCCGTCTAGAACAGTCAACCCATCTCAAGACGAGTTCAGCCAGATTACAACTCTACTGAGCCAGAATCAACAGCAATCAATTGCTATCGTTGCGGCGACCCCGCACCAGCAGATCCACACTTTCACTCCGCTGGTGCGAAAAAGGCACCTGACCACAGCCTGCAATGAGCACAGATGCGGTGATACCTGGTATAATCAGATTCATCGGCGGCATAGCGACGGGCTGGGTGCTGTGCACATTCAGCAGCAGCAGAACTCGCGGTAGTACCAGCGGCGGCGGCGCCGCCAAGCCAAAGAAGAAAAAGAAGGGGTTGGCAGTAGGGCAGCGGGCGCAGACTGTCGTGCCGCGGCCAAAGGAGGAACTCAAGATGGTGCTGTGTGTCAACACCTCCCTGGGCATGGGGAAGGGCAAGATAGGTGAGGGGCTGCTCTACGGGCGATGATTCAACCAGGGACGTCTCGGCAGCCATATTATGTTGCACATGGGCTCTCGCACGAAACCCTGCAGCACACACGGCAGGGAAATCATGCCCACCTACTGCTCCTGGTGAAACCAACCGCCGATGCCCCGCGGCTCGCGGCACTTGCATCCGCGCCGCTCACCAGGCGCCCAGTGTGCGCATGCAGCAGTGGGCGTGATGGGCCGCTACCGCGGCCGCCACGAGGTGATGTTCAAGCAGTGGGAGGCGTGCGGCCAGCCCAAGATCGCCCTCAAAGTCAAGGATGAGGGGGAGATGGTGCGGGCCGGGTCGCGTCGCGGGCTTTGTTTTGAGCTGTCGAGTTGCTATCCATGTGCGCACGAGCACTTGAGCGTGGGTCAGTGCGGCCTGATTGCTGGAGAAAGGCACTGCCAGCATCATGGTTGGTCCGACTTCACTGAATCCCCCTTAAGGCGCCTCGGCAAAGGCACGGCCACATGGCATGGTCCGTTGCTCGCGGGCTGCGAGCTGCGAAGCCTGCGCACACCGCGCGCCGCCCACCCCTGGCCAACCCTGGGAACTCCACTCGCAAATCATCTCGCAGGCCCAGCTGGCCGAGAGGGCGCAGCAGGCGGGGCTTTGCTCGTACATTGTCCACGATGCGGGGCGCACGCAAATTGCAGCAGGCAGTCAGACAGTGCTGGCGATTGGTCCCGGCGCCAAGAGCGAGATCGACCGAATCACGGGGCACCTGTCCTTGTTGTAACCGACTGCGTATCGCTTTCTGCGAGCGGCATGGGACAATGGTCGTGCTGTGGGGTTGCGCGACATGCTGAATGCCAAAATATGGCGGGGGAGCAGAATGGTGCAGATGTGGGGAGGTTGATGCAACACTGTCAAAATTGCGTTGGTGGGGCTGCATTGGAGGAAAGGTTGGTAGATCCGCGACTGCCCGTCTTTCTGCCAGTGGCATGCTCGCAGGAGCCCCGCAGTGGGCCGCTGCCAAGTTGTGTGATACCCTGCCACGTGCGATAGCTGCCGCAATCCGCTGCGTCCTCAATGAGCTATGTTAGTGGCCTTGAGGGTCTCTGAGCCGCTGTCACCGTTTCATGTGAGATGAATACTGTGATTATGTGCCATTTGCAGTGACGTGTGGAATGCTTGTGGATGTGGAGTGGAAGTGTCCCCCCTTCAGTCAATCAGGCTTCTGTCACCGCAGATGGCACGCGTAGATTGCTATGCCCCTCAAATATAAAAGCTATCCCTTTCTTTGTGCCAACACACGTCCATGACTGTGGAGTGTTCTAGAGGCGTCTATGGGCACCCCGTGCTCCTTTGCAGTTGTACTGTAGGCGGCAGCAAGCAGCCTTCACTCAGCAGTACAAGCAGCCAGACTGCGACACAGCCGAGCATCTCATGACTCGTTGCGTTGTACGCTTGTCTTATTTGGCAGTAACGACCCCACACTCCCCTTGACGCCCGTCGTGCAGTTTTGCCATGCGAACAAGGTGATCACCGTCACAGATCTCCTCGATGAGCCAGCAACATGTCCATAAGTCGCGGGATATAAGGCAATTAAACCCTAGACGAGCCGTACTGCTCGGCCTCTGCACGTCAGCAGTCGCAAATGCCCCCCGCTCAGCCCGGTCCGCGACGTCCCCGCCGGCACTGTCAGTGCCGACAGCACTGGCCGAGCTCGCCTCCCCAGGCCCTTTCGCAGTCAGCGTGACGCGACTCGAGCTGGAGCGCCTGCCATCCGATCTACCGGCTGGCCTGGGCCTTGCAGCATGGCTGCGTGTGCCGGTGTGGCCTCCAACAGGTGCCAACAATGCAAAGCCTGCTGCCTGTCCCTCAGCGTTACCCCTGGCCGTGTTCAGCGGGGGCTTTCTGGTTCCTACTCAGCAGTACGCCTGGCTGCTGGACCACTTGGCTTCTCATGGGTTCCCAGTAGCTTCCTATGACTATCAGCAGGCCGCAGGGGGGGCGCAATTCGTCCCAGACCTGCCCGCAGCTGGCCTCGCAACCGCCGTTGCAGCCAGCGGCCTTCAGGCCCTCAGGCGCAGCAGCAGCGGCAGTGGAGGAGCCTGTACAGCCTCTGCATGCAGCACAGGCGGCTCGGTCTACTTTATTGGCCACAGGTGCGGGGCCGGGGCCTGGCTGGGTGGTGATAGCCAGACTCTTGACACACTGCAGGTTGCCTGGCTCGGGTGCTGGCCCACAAGCGTCAGGGCGGCTGCGTGCACCCACCACGCCTCCTGCAGTCGCGGCGCCAAGCTCTCCGTGCTTGCAGCCGCCGACGCCCCCGGCCGTGTCGCTGCGCTGGGCCTGGTGGATCCCGTGGATCAGACCTTTGACTCAGAGGCGAGCCCAGGGTGGGCGGGTGGAGGGTTTTGGTCATCGGTTTGCAGGTTTGCTGTCTCTTCGCTCCCTTGGCAACTCCCTTGCATGCTTGTGCGTGGGCCTGCCTGACAAGCATGGCGTCACCGTGTTGAACACCGCATGGACACAGAGCACCACGTAACACAACGTCGTTGCCGTGAGTGATGCCATCAATGGATGCCGCGTGCAGGTCGCTCACTGCTCTGCCCGTGCTCGAACGGCTCTCCGCCGGCCCATCGGCTGTGCCGGTAGCAATCATCGGCGCCGGCCGCGGCGGTGACTGCGTCCCGCGGCGCTCGGGCTACGAAGCGTTTGCTCGCGCGGGCGGCCTCGGACGCAACAGCAGAGGCGGCGGCGGCGGCAGCGGGAGTCACGTGCTCGCGGTGGCGCGTGAGGCAGGGCACCTCCAATTCTTGGAGGAGCAGACCACTCTGCAAAGGCGAGTTGAAGCTTGCTATATGCGGAGAGCAGCTTCCGCCCACGCGTCCAAGGTCGGCAGCATTGCCTGCTGGCTCTGCTGCAGTCCGGCCGGCATCACGCTGCCTAGCGCTGCGCAACTTCAAGATGGCTGGCCTTCGCCTCCTTCGCCGCTCCTCTCCCTCTGTGGTGCCATCGTTGACAGTGGCCGTTTCGCCTGCCTCCTTTCGTGCGACGAAACAACGTCGTCATCTGCAGGTCGGTCTGCTTTGGGTCATCAAAAGTGGACGAGACGGCCCTGAGGGCCTGGACAGCCGCACTGCTGACCGCCCACGGCGTGTCTGCCTCGGCGTTGCTCGAGGAAGGCTGCTCTGCTGGCGACGGCGGCAGCCGGACTTGCAGTGGCGAGCAGCATTGGCTCGACGCGAGCGCCATTAAGAGCCTGGGGGCGAGGCTCGGCGTATCTGTAAGCGCGACGAGCTGCTGACACGCCATTTTTGCGGGTTCGCGCGTATTGCAAGTTGGCGGCACCCAGCAGGTGTTGTGGCCCTCCTTAGTATCCTGACCCTTGTGATGCGGGGGTGACGGCCGGCGTGTTGAGCGGTCAGTGTCGGCGACCTCAGCTGTTGAGAATTCCGTGGCAAGCCAGCCTTCATGCGACCAGCGACCAGCAGCACAGCCAGACTACTAAATTTTTGGTAAACAGGGGAGCCTAGTCTGTGCCATGTCGCCTCCCCACTGGCATGTCAGGCACCCCTGGGCAGCGCGGCGGGAACAACCAGGGCCCGCCCGCACCTGCAGAAAGGTCTTAATTTTAAAGAAGTACTATGTGAGCATCACGGCTTAGATGCTAGTGGTTCCAATAGATGCTGGACTCTGGTGACTGTATGACAGTCATGTTTGCCACGACGGGTTACACCAGTGCTCGCCGCAGTGCATGTTGTTAGGATTATTTTGCCTCTATACCGCCTGTTGTACAACCACGGCATACGTTGAAATATATCAGATCAAACACAGCCCGCGGGCCCTTTCCCGTACATCCGCTTTGTCATGGAATGTGCTGCTTGAAAGTCGTGTTTCTGGCCCTGTTACTAACGTGTAGCGCCGGAGCCATCCCCGTGGAGGACGGGGAACAGCTGCGCGAGGCAGTGGCAAGCCTCGCCACCCCCGGGCCCAACGTGGTCTGGGATCTCAGTGGCAGCCTCTCTATAGCCGAGGCGGGCCCCGCGCCCACACGCGTCGCGCGCAATGTGACGCTGCGCGGCGCGGGCCCGCCAAATGCTACCGAGATTAGCCTGTACGGATGGGTGTCGATGTGGCAGTTGGCACCGGGGGTGGTGGTCACGCTGGAGAACCTGACGCTGTCTAACTTGGCGCTGCGGCCGCCCGACGCGCCCACGCCGCCGCCGTCCAACTTGTCGGTGTTCACGTTCCCGCTCTGGTTTTTCGAAACGAACCGGTGAGCGGCGGCGCCCGGGACACTTGGCTCCTGGCATGCCTGTTGAGCTACAGTGAGGGAGCTGAGTGGGGCGGCGGCCCTGGCGCATGCGGAGAGCTGCCCAGGCAACGGCACAGATGACGTTGCCCTGTCATGGAGCCAGCATGGGGGTGCGCAGTGCGGTCTGTGTCAGGAAGCAGCCGGGGGCGTCGCCGCTGCGGCGGCCCCTCGCCTGGCAGTGTAGCAGTGGCGCGGCCCCATCTGGATTGACATCAGCGGGCACGGCCAGCCGTGATGGCAGCTGCAGAAGCAGGAGCAGCAGGAGCACAGCTGGCCGGTGCCAGGCAGCGATGGCACAAGTGGCCCACGGCAACAGCCATCTGAAGCGACAGCCTGCAGCACCGGCCAATCGTGTGCGTTCCGGCAGCAGATACAGCAGCGGCGGCAGCACGCGGCCTCTCAACCTCACTCCCATCCCACTCCACACCGTTCACACCCCGCAGGTCCGTATCTCAGCTCGTCGTGCGCGGCTGCAACCTCATCATACCTTATGATGAGTTTATCTGCCTGCAGCACGTGTTTTTTGAAGCGTCGGTTGACAGCCCGTCGTACGTGGTCGACATGTTCTATTACTTTGAGCTGCTGCTGAGAGACTTCACCAACAATGCTCAGGTGCGCACAAACGCTCTGCGTGCGCGTGTGTGCATGCGTGCGCGCGCGTGTGTGTGTATGTGTGCATGCATGCATGCATGCGCACATGCATGCATGTGCTGGTTTGTGGGGATGCAAGTGGCTGATGCATGCAACGCTATGCCCTGATGAGAGGGGTTGGCCTGCAGGCCGTGCAGCAGGCATCGCTGAGTGCCGACCCCTGGGTTGCAACGGGTTGATACGAATGATGGCGCCGCACGGTCGACTGGAGTCCAGCGCCGCGTCATGTCGTCGCACGGACACTGCCGGGCAGGCGGCAGCCGCGCCCCCCAACTGGTGCCCCCCCAACTTCCGCGTCCGCGGCAGGCGGTGCTCCGGCCGCCGGGGTCTGTCAGCATTACGACGGGCCGCGGCCTGGGCGTGTCTCTGACTGATGTCAATCTGGAGTACCACCCCAACAAGTTCCCGCTGATCTCCAATCGCTCGCGTATCACATCCAGTGAGCGAGGCTGGGGCGGGGTCCGGGCCTCAAGAGCTTTGCCTGCCCGCCGGCGGGCGCCGACGACCGCTGGTTGCGCTCTGCCTGGCGGTGTCCGCAGAACTTCTGCAGCCGGCGCCGAGCCGCGCCCTGTGCGCGGCCCGCGCAGCTGTCGCGCGCAGCGTAGCAACCCGCTCCCTTGCTGTCTGTTGCGGGGCTGACTTGCTGCCCGGGCACTCACCGCCCCAACCCGGCCTCCTCTCGTTTCCTTGCCTCCGCCCAGGCAACCCCTGGGTGTCCGTCGGCGGCAGCAGCGCCCCGCAAGGCGGCGGCGGCGGCGGCACCCCGCTGCCGGCCTGGGCGGTCGCGCTCACCGTGCTCGCCGCCGCCCTGCTGCTGGTCGCGGTGGCGGGCGGCGCCTGGGTCGTCGCCCGCCGCGTGCTGCCGCCGCGCCGCGGCGCCGCGGGGCCCGCCGCGCCCAAGGCCGGAGCGGGCGGTGGCGCGGGGAGCAAGGGCGCGGGCAGCATCGGGCGGAGGGGCCGGTGCCCGGCGGACAGTGATGGCGCGCTGGAGTCTGCGATGGAGGACGGCCTGCTGGGCCCTGCGGACGCGCCGCGGCCGCCGGCGGCGGCGCTGGCGCGCGTCCGGCGATCAACGGTGAGGCCGCCGCGCCGCGCCGCGCCGCGCCGCGCCGCGCCGCGCGGGGCGGTCTTCTCCGGAGAGCACCTGCCTGCAGCTTCCGGTCATCGGCCCGCCACGAGACAAGTGCTGACGCCCCTCCGGCGCGGCGCGCGCAGCAGCCCGCCCCCGCCCAATGGCCGTCCCTTGCTCTCCCCCTCCCTCCCTCCCTCCCGCCCCCGCAGGACGCGCGCAGCAGGGGCAGCAGCCAAACGCCTGGATCCGTCAGCATAACCAGCTCCGAATCCAACCCCCTGGCCAGCGGCTCCGCGGGCTCCGGCCCTGCTGCGGCAGCAGCAGCAGCAGCAGCAGCAGCAGCTGCCGCCGCCGGCAGGGGCGGGGGCGGGGGCCGGCAGGTGCAGCTGCGGGAGCTGCACGCGGCTGTGGCGGAGCTGAACCGTGAGATTGACGACAAGAGCCTCACAATACACGAGGTCCTGGGACAGGGGGCGTACGGTGAGGCCGCTGCCACGCGATCTGGGGCGATCTGGGGCGAGATGTTCAGCGGTGGTTCGGCAGCACAGTGGGGAAAGGAGGGAGGGGGCGAATCGGGCTGTGCCTCGTCGGAGACGCGACCTCGCTGCGACGACATGCTTTCGATCCCTAGTCGCCCCGCCCCTCCGCCCGCTTGTCACC